TGATTATTGAAAGATTGATTATTTATTCATCATCTATTGATTATTGATTATCAATCTATTTATAATAGGACTAGAATACCGCCAAGGTCTCTTCCAACTCTATTATTCTATGTTCTATTTTATATTTTTCTGAAGTATAAACAAAAGACACATTCTATTGCTGTCCTTCATCAGTGTAACAAGTAGATATAATATTCTAGCAAGAAATATGTCTTGGTGTTACCATAAATAACTAGCTTGACGTTTTGCTCATGAGATATCACAACTCAAACTTGGTTTCACAATGTTCCCAGTATTTATTATATAATATTGCTGATATCTAATGATTCCTAACCAAAGGGAAGAAAAGCTGCCGTAAGTCATTCTCTGGTTTAATTAATGATCAGGAGAGGGCGATCTTTACACATAAAATAGAGCTTTATACTGTATATCAGTAAATACCTTTTCGGCTTACTTTTCATTCTGTGCTTTGGGTTTAACAGGAATTTAGAGGGAGAAGTTGTATTATTTCAGCTTAAAACAAAAAAAAAAATGGAAATGCATATCTAATACTGTGTCCTGTAGAGAATAAGTTATAAAATTACAGTGACTTTTTCATAAAATAAAAATGGGCTGTAAGTAATACAGTCTACCTGAACTGAAACAAATACCAGTTAGGGATAATTTAGGGCATAAGTACATACTTGAAGCCATATGGGTAGCTCTGTTCTTTGGGACCTCTTCGGATAAGGAGAGGTCAGGAGATCATCAACAGTTACTCCAGATAGATGCTACAGATAGTCCTTGACTTATAACAATTTGTTTAGTGACTATTCCAAGTTACAGTGGCACTGAAAAAAGTGACTTGTGACCATTTTTCACATGACCATTGCAGCACTCCTATGGTTACATGAACAAAATTCAGATGCTTGGCAGCTGACTCATAATTATGACGGTTGCAATGTCCTGGCGGGGTCATGTGATCACCTTTTGTGATCTTCTGATAAGAAAGTCAATGGGGAAGCCAGATTCACTTAACAACCATGTTACTAATTTAACAACTGCAGTGAGTCACTTAACAACTGTGGCAAGAAAGGTCATAAAATGAGGGGGCGGGGGCGGGGAGGAACTCAATAAATGTCTCACTTAGCAACAGAAAGCTAGGCTCAGTTGTGGTCGTCTACTTGCAAGGAGATTGCAGGACAATGAGTCAGAGAACCGGGACATGAAGGGATGAATCATCAAGTACACAACTGCAGCCAGCACCTTACATTAGGTTTGTCAACCTAACTTCTAATCACTTTTGAAAATTGCTTATTTAAATAGCCTAAAGCTATTAGGGATCTTTGGAATGACAAGTCGGAAGGGTTACTTGATGAGTGTACCTTTACTTCTGAACCAGAGAAAAGTTAAATATACTATATAACATTTAAACTGGAAATATGAACAATAGTAAAAAGTGTGGATTTACAAGGTGGAGAAGACCCTGAAGAACAACCCTGATATGGACTTTGTCCTGGATACACAAAAGAGCTTGGTTAAGGCTTTGAAAATCAAAGGAGAAATACAAAAGACAATGCAATGATCTGGATAATGATTTTTCACTGGATTTATAAAAGAAGTTTGTTAAAGCCTTGAAGAAGTCTTTGCAGTGAGAAAGACTGCACAGGAATGAATTAAAGATCAAGATTGTTAGAAGTAAAAGAAATGAATATAAAGTTGGTCTGTTTGATCAAGGGTAACACAAGACATGTTTTTATAAAGCTCTTTTAACCCTTTACAGAATTTTTGCTGACATCAGGACAGAGAAGTTGACAATTTTATGGTTTTGCATATAGAGGAATGGGTTATGGGGGGAAATATTTGTAACTTGGTAGGAGGTGATGAGTTATTTTGTTTACACTTATTGTAATAAACACCGGAAGTCACTTCTTTACATATTTCTTTTTTTCCTTTATTCTACTTGTTTCCTACTTCCTATTTTTTCCTTTTGTTTCTTTTTTCTTTTTATTCTCCCTTTTGTTCTCTATTTATACTCTCCATCTTTTTTTCTGAGTTTGTA